TATATAAGTAGTGTTTTAAAGACAACAGAGAGACAAATATAAAATTTAGATAAACAGCTGTGAATTTAATTTATCATTATTGTCCAATTTAAAAAGTGATTACAATTATCAATTTTATCAACAGAATTTGATTGCTATGTTGCAAGCTGCGATGATAAATGGGAAGATGAAGTTTGCACAGAGTTAAAAAAGAAAAACAAAAATCTGAAGGTGATCTGTAGAAAGAAGATTATTCCTAATTGGCCTACTTCAAAAAGGAAACACAAGAAGGTATTAGATGATAGTAATAATTTACTAGAACCGGTACACAGCACTAAGACGACGATTGTTGGGTTTAAAGGCAAAAAGGTTAATGGATATTTAAAAAGTATTGCAGAAGCTGTCATTAAAAGACAATTTGAAGATGATGACTTTGGATGTTTGATACCTGTGAAGATAAAGCGAGATGCTGTCATACCGTCTTGTGTGAAGAGGTTTAGACCTCTCAACGCCTTTGAAGACAACTTTCATGAAAATGTTTGGCAAGCTGTAACTAGAATAGGTAGGATAAATTTCTATTATAAGTGTTCTTGTTTTTTATTGTAACTATTATTATAGGCCCATGTGTGGATGAAATTTGGAATTTTAAAAAAATGTTTGAGAGATTTCTAGGTACGGTCACATAATAATCATAATAGAATTCATCCCATCGTTAGCGAAAATGAACATTTTAATAGAGAACCACATAGGCCTACTAACAACCCTGTTGCCTGTTTTATATTAAGATGTTGATCCAAGAAAATTTATTAACAGCTCAGTGACATCGTCGGACTCACCTGCTATTATTGGTTCATTTTCTAGCACATGTATATTAGTCTTTATAAATATATGACTTCTGCTAGGTACTACATTTCATCATCATAATTATTAACATGTTTTTACGTTAAAAATTCTTATGGAATAGTGTCACCGCGACGCATTTGACCATTATGTAAACCCGCCGTGCCAACCCTGGGCCGTTGTGCCCAATGATGTAGCTTCCAGGCACGTGATTGAAGTTAGCGTTGTAAACGCTATCGAAACTTACCCAGTATTCTTAAAACGAACTGCTTGTATATTTCAAGCTAAAACTTAAAAATGACGTAATTTCATATTCTTAAAACAACTAAACTACGCCTAAATCATGCGGGCCTTGACTAAATAATACCTCAGCAGGCCGATATTTTAGTCAGCTTAGGGTCAGATTAAATTGTCGACTTGAAATATCTACCCCACTGTGAATTTAATGAAACTCTTGGAGACTTGGATAACTAGATTCAAGGGTCTCTTATTGAAACCTTGTTTTAAAGAAAGACAAGGGTGATGAAAACTATTTTGCTTCAAATTATTATAAATTAATAAAGTATATAATAACAAAGAAATACCTCTTTGCTTTTTATCATTTACTTCTGCATTTTGTCAAAAAACAATTTTTAATAGCTTATTTTGAGCCAGTTTCAGCTTCGAAGCTCTGCCTACCGAAGTTAACTAAAGTTGACCTTTAACGAATGTCACATGCAGTCGGTCCTCTGTTGTTTTGACAGACTCGACGACGTATTGTATAGCATCAGGAAACAGTTCATGAGAAAAATTTACCCGACAGTTTTCAAGAGGGGGAAACTTTGAATTCAGGAAGCTCATTTCCCACCATTTAGAAATTAACATTTTCCTGGGGAGAATCTGAACCCACTTTCTTTTTGGGGTTCATTGATTCATGGAATCCTTTTCAGGCGAGGAAAATCTGAAATTTTGAATAACTTAAAAGTCATAAAAAGACACCTCAGAATTCGGGAAAGCTCATTCTCGCCATCAAGGAATGAAAATTCTCCCTGGAAAGAACTCCCCGAACCCCCTTTCTCTTTAGGGTTTATCAATTAATGGGAAAACAAACACGTATGCAACTACTCATTTTTTTTTTATGTATGTACACACATATAACATGCCTATTTACTGTAATAATTCATGGAAAAACAAACACGTATGCAACTACTCATTTTCTTAAATGTATGTACACACACATAACATGCCTATTTACTGTAATAAGAATGAGAAAGTTTACTTGACTGTGGAAAACCTTCCCACCATCTAGGAATCAAAATGTTCCCAGGGGACGACCCCGGACCAGCTTCCTTTTTGGGGTGTTGGAATTTTTGCGTTTTAAGTTAAGCCTAAAACTTTTAATGAAAAAGAGATAAAAGCAAATTTTTGCCCGTTTCCAAATAATACATAAAGATCATTATTTACATGTCCATTTATTGGCACGGAATGACTTTTTAATCATTCACAATTTTATAGTGTTATGTATATAAAAATTAGACAATTTAAATACAGAATAGATTTTTAATTTTTAAGCTTATGACATTTTTTATATTATAGTGATATAATGTAGCCTATTATATAAGCATGTGCAATTGTATATTAGCCATATTCCGACTTCAAAAATACTTTAAACTTGGAAAGTGTCAGTTAAAATTGATTAGATTATAATAATAATAATAATAATAATAATATAGAAATTTATATAGCGCCTTTTGCCAAAGGATAAAGGATTATTGTTTTCATCCACAGAATTTGATTGCTATATTGTAAGTTGTGATGATAACTGGGAAAAGAAAGTTTGTACAGAGTTAGAAAAGAGGAACAACAAATTAAAAGTGAGCTGTAGATATGAGCGTCTTTCTTCAAAGTCTCTTAAACAGAAACGAATGAAGACCTTAGGTAATGGTGATGTTTTGGATACTTTATTACAACCCATACTGGGCACTAAAAAGATAATTATTGGGTTTAATGACAAAGAGGTCAACGGCTACTTAAAACGTGTTGCATTAACTGTATTGGAAAGACAATGTGAATTAGGTGATAATTACGGAGGGTTGATACCTATACAGATGAAGCAAGATGCAAGCATACCGTTTAGTGTAAAGTCGTTAGCTCTTCTCAAAGCGTTCGATGACAACTTTCATGATGAAGTTTGGAAGGCTGTGACTTCAATAAGTAGGTTGTTTTCTTCCATTTAAAGTAATACGTTAAACATTTATTGTTATTATTTACTCTACACATTCATTCAAACTAGAAATATGTATAGTTGTTTTAATAACACCTTTAAAATTATGCTTACTGATCAAATTCATATATACTAATATAATTCAAAATATAATTTTTTTTTTTTAAATTTCTAAAGGTGTACAAGTGAATGTTAAGTGCATAAATAGTTCCTCGAACTTCAAGGAAATTAATGACATACTACAAACTACTGTGGAGAAATTCCAAAAGCGTCATAGCCCGCTTCATGACAAAATATCAAAATACATAAAAGAGATCGGATTAAAATTCAATGGGATTACATACGGATCAATTATTCTGCACCTATCTACACAAGATCCCGTAGCATTAAGGCGCCTATCAGATTCTAAAGAGCGTGAAACCATTATAAATCGACTTGCACATATCCTACTTCCACCAAAGCTTCAGAAAGAATTTTGTCAAAATTGGTCACTTAATATTGACATGGAAAAATATGATGCTGCTCTAACGGAACTGAAAACACACAACAATTCCCAAAGACCTGAGTCAGACACAGACGAGGATTGATTAAACATGTGAGAAAGTAGGAGAAGATTGAGCATTTCGCACCAGACAAACCATCGAGTGTTTACACTGATGTTAAAATGTCCTGTTAAATCCACATGGGTAAATAAATAATTAAAAAGGCAGAAAAACAGCTTATTCACGAAAGAATGAAAATTACTTCCAATACTAAGGGCCTAAACTCTACCGTCACAAAGCACACTCACCCCATCAAAGACATTTTAGCATCATATTTAGCATATTAGCACCAAAAGAGGAGGAGGTAAGATGAACAACTTTAAGTCCACCCCACCTCCTAACAACACAACAAAAGACAAAATTTGAACACAGAAAATCAGACATCTGAAAAGATTATTCCATTTTCATACTCCCAGTAGAAGTTATATTACAACTCGACCTTGATTTATAAAAGGAAGCTAACGGGAAAACTCAACAAGCCAAAGAAAGAAAATAAAATCACGCCCAAGCAAAAGGAATACCTATTTCCCACAAATGAATTCAAACCCAGAATTGATGGCACACCGATGGTTCTCATTAGGAAAACTACCCTCTCTGACTGATAATAGATTATACTGGATGCACTGCATATAACTGTCACGCAGCCCAGCAGACATCATTGCACCATTAATGGGAAACAGCATACATAATGTTGCCAACTATAAAGCACTACTAGGTATGACACAACTTGTGAAACTAGCAGCCGATTGTTGTATAACTGTTTACAAAAACACCAGTAGCCTTAACATTAGATATTGTTAAGGAACGCCTAATATTGGACGGAGACCTGAAGAAACCTTGCTGCTTAATTCGTTCTCACTACTACGTATAATAGAACCCCAAAGTGTCCACTAAATAGGGTTTTGAAGTATGTTTGCGAATAACGATGACATACAATCTTTAATTTTATCTTTATTAACATAAGAATTTATTGACATAGAATTAGAATTAATTTATAGCAATAATTTACAATGTGCAAAATATATATATGCATTCAGTGGAAATGTTTTAAAAGAACAATAGTTTTATGTTACCAATATCGTTACCTCCATCAGGGAGGTTATGTATTCACTGTTGTCTGTCCGTCGTTTGGTCTGTCTTTCTGTCTGTTAGTAAGATTAAGTAAAAAAACAGCATACATAATGTTGCCAACTATAAAGCACTACTAGGTATGACACAACATGTGAAACTAGCAGCCGATTGTTGTATAACTGTTTACAAAAACACCAGTAGCCTTAGCATTAGATATTGTTAAGGAACGCCTAATATTGGACGGAGACCGGAAGAAACCTTGCTGCTTAATTTGTTCTCACTACTACATATAATAGAACCCCAAAGTGTCCACTTAATAGGGTTTTGAAGTATGTTTTCGAATAACGATGACATACAATCTTTAATTTTATCTTTATTAACATAAGAATTTATTGACATAGAATTAGAATTAATTTATAGCAATAATTTACAATGTGCAAAATATATATATGCATTCAGTGGAAATGTTTTAAAAGAACAATAGTTTTATGTTACCAATATCGTTACCTCCATCAGGGAGGTTATGTATTCACTGTTGTCTGTCCGTCGTTTGGTCTGCTTTCTGTCTGTTAGTAAGATTAAGTAAAAATAGTGAATGAATCATCATGAAATTTAGTGGAATGGTACATAATAAAAGAAAAACACGAGGGGGGGGGGGTGAAGTGGCACAACCTACTCAGAATAGGTAAGTGAGTAGCGCTAATTCCAATATGCATTGAAATGTATAAATTTAGTAGCAAAACAATTTATTACTCTCAAGCATAAGAGTAAATAATGGAATTACCCCTCGCATTCAGGCAGCACTCAAGAACGTGCCTGAATACGGTAGGCGATTGCATTATCTTTTTAAGGGTAGACTGCAGTTTCGCCCTTTATACACAGCATGCGTATTGTAGTACTGTATTCAGGCACAGGGCGGAGGTAGGTATGCACTCTATGGAGTGAACATCACAAGTAATCTAATGCTATCGAGTAATTTTGTTTCGTCTAAATATTGGTGATTTGAAAATGAGTTACATATATGCTTATTTATTTTGGAAGTTAACTTTCAGAATTTACTCTAACCAATGAACATTCCATTTGCATCATTCATTTTTTATTCAAGCTTAATGCTGTATTGTTTCGTTATAGATATATTTCTTTTTTAAACAATTTTATTAATCCCTTTACTATACTTTACTTTTATAATATTTAGATAAGGCTGTTATTGTTTTATTAGTGATTACAATAAAAAATAAAATAAAATACAATAAAAATACAGTATTCTGTGATTTAGATTAACCTTATATATATATAATATAATAATAATTTTATCGTATTTTTAATTAAGTCCTTTTCAATTTTATTAATATGCAACTTTTTTATATTTTATATACTGTAATTTTGTATAGTAAAACGGGACCATATGTAAAACAATTTGTTACATACCACATGATTATGCCATTCTGTATAAATATGTCCTTTTCAATTTTATTAATATGCAACTTTTTTATATTTTATATACTGTAATCGGGTCTAGGCCCGTTGCCACCTGGCCTGTTGCCACCCGGCCTTTTGCCACCCGGCCTGTTGCCACCTTAGGCTCATTATCACACGGCCTTTTTCCACCCGGTCTTTTGCCACCCGGCCTTTTGCCACTCTGGGCCCGTTGGCGATTTTTATTTCCGTACGAAACATTTGCATGAAACCTCTCTCGGACTATCTCGGATTGACTCGACTAAGTTCGATACGAGGAACAAGAGCAGACACTTCGCAATGTCGTGACGCTCGAGTTCTACTGTTATTGCTCTTTCTATGTTTACCTACGGTAGGCCTATGATAGCTTACGGATTTATGGGATACATGTGTAACTAACTGTGACCTTCTTGTATGTTATTAAATGTTAGTATAATATCTACAAAAACAACAGCTAGTACCCCCTTTCATAAAGTGTAGATAGGTACAGTAATGCCAAAGGCTAGAGAGAAGGATAAACTATGGGCCTAATTAACTACAGGCAGAGGTAAGTCCTACCTAGTATAGGCCTAGGGTCCTAGGCTGACACCAGAAGTCACGCTTTACATACAGACGTTGATTGAAATTTTGAAAAAAAAAATGGAAAAAAATTAAAGCATGAAATAAAAAATAAAGTGCATAACAGAAATATTATTTTATAAATAAAGTATACCATTCGGCGGCGTTATTGAACTTGGCCAAACTATCCTTCTAATGTAATTAATGTTAAATACTAATACTAATAATAATAATAATAATTTCAGCATTAATTACCTTGACCTAAGAATTGTAATGAATTGTAAAGAACCATACTATTCACTAGGCCTATAAATAATAACTAGCCCAGGGGGAATATCTTTTGTGTTATTTCCCTTAACGTCGATTTTTTAATTGTTCTCTAATTCCTCCATTGTCTAAGCTCCCCTTAAGGTAGGCCTACAGGTTGGTTTTAGTAACATAATAATAATAATAATAATAATAATAATAATAATAATAATAATAATAATAATTTCAGCATTAATTACTTTGACCTAAGCCTTGTAATGAAGAAACATATGCCTACTATTTACTAGGCCTATAATTAATAACTAGCCCAGGAGGAATATCTTTTGTGTTATTTCCCCTAAACGTCGATTTTTTAATTGTTCTCTAATTCCTCCATTGTCTAAGTTCCCCTTAAGGTATGCCTACAGGTTGGTTTTAGTAACATCATCATCATCATCATAATAATAATAATAATAATAATAATAATAATAATAATAATAATAATAATAATAATAATAATAATAATAATAATAATAATAATAATAATAATAATAATAATAATTATTATTATTATTATTTTGGCATTACATGTAATTAACCTGGTCTAGTCTTGTAATCAAGAATCTGCAGATTGCTATGCCTGATTTATAACTAGGCTCAGGCCTCATTCATCGGTGCTCATTTGGCAGGTCTTATGGCATCCAGTATTTTAGAGCTGCCTCTTCTCAACTCTTTTCTTAATTTGAAAATAACTGTCACCCTGTTTCATTTGATGAAACGCCCCGAGAAACGCGCTTTTGCTTAATCTCTGTGCTTTCCCCAGAAAGCGTATATATTTTGTAGCTAGGCCTAGGTAATTATGCAAAACCCAGACCTAACAAAAAAAAAAAAAAAAAAAAAAAAAAAATATTT